CCCCAAAACCCCAAAACCCCAAAACCCCAAAACCCCTATCTTGAATGATCTTATTGAAGCTCTAATAACTATTATCCATGATATTGGTTGGCTACTTTATAATGGTCATTGAACCTGATCCATGCTTTATCTTTCTTAAATGGTTCTATTAATGAAACTATAACTCTACCTTTGAGGACCTTGTCTAGTTTCTCTGTTAGATCAATAAGAGGGTTCTTCTTTCTTTTACGCCTCTGTTGGTTCCAAGTATCTGCTTCTTCAAGTCTCTTTTGTTCCTAAAAGTTTTACTCAGAGTTTACCTCTATTAAATTCTTATGCACTGTTGATAAGGTTGGGGAGTCTGGTTCTTTATAAATATTTCTAGGGGATCATTCAAATTTCTTACTTCTTCAAATCAGTCTTGCCCTTGATATTAATCTTAGCCTTCTGCTGTGTCTTCTTCATAAGTTTTTCATGAGCAAGCTTGGTTTTGTACTTGTGCACGATCTGGTCCTTTTTCCATTCGACTTCATCTGATTTTTCTGGAGATGATTTATCTAGAACGTTGAAGAAATTTGAATACCGAATATAGGCTCAGCAAGGGAAGGATCCTTAGGCAGCTCTATCCTGTTAAGATTGTTCAACGAATTCTCTCTTTTGTGGTTCTTTGAAGCCAATATGTTTAAATGCTTCTTGCCAAGATCAAGTCTGAAGTATTTATCAAGTGTTGATGGGTTATTTATTCGGATATGGATCAAACATTGAGGGCGTCTCATAAGTCTTTGAGGAAATATCTCTGTATAGGTCAGCTGATTGCTCTTGAAGGTACCGGTCCATTGTATCTTTATATGCAATTGTAGAGCCTTTTTGGGAAGCAATTTTCTCATCTCTAATGCTCTTACTCATAGAACTTCTCAAATTATAAGCATTTGCTGGGGAAATATCAGAAACAGAGCCCTGAGAGGTTAGTTTATCTTGGTGCTTCCATCTGTCAAGGACACTTCTAACCTTGATCTGAGATCTCTTTGGAACATGATTCGAAAGCTCCTTAGTTTTACTTCTTTGAACAATAGCTGATTTCTTAATATTGGCTGGGCCAATAGGAGAGCTTCAGTCATGATTTTGCATGAAACTATTGACTTTTTCAAGACTTCTTTTCAAGCTTTCTTGAGAGAAATCATTAGTCATCTTCTCATCCGGATTCCCGATGTAAGAATCCTTATAATTGTCATATTTATTCAGCATGCTTTTATTCCTTCTTGAAATCCTAAAGTTTGTATAAAATAAAAGACATACTCAGATTCGGTGCTTTTTTGGAGTTTCCTAAATCTAGATCTCCTGCCGTTAAAGATGGCTGAGTATATTACTGACTTGTCAGGATTAACAGCATCTGTTTTAGGGAACCAGAGATCTTGCCTGCGTTCCCCTCCTCACTTGGATTTTATATGCATTGATCTCCTGATCTTGTTAAATTTGCCATCTATCGTGGGCATAATCCCATTATTTGCTTGGAACAGTTTTGGCTGGATCAACGAAAGGATCTTTCACTTTGACTATAATATTTCAGGTATTTCCAGGCAAGAAAAATTGTGGGTAAGAATATTCTGGAAAATTTAACCGAATCAGTCTGAGGATCAGAATTTTTTGTGATTAAAAATTTTGTGGTTTTTAGAGGGTACAGAAATGCAGAATGGCCTGATTTTGTGCATAAGAAGACTTACCTTCGATGGAGAACGGGCCATATTAACGATATTTTATTTTAACTTCACAATTTATAAAAATTGAAACGGGGTTTTGGGGTTTTGGGGTTTTGGGGTTTTGGGG